GCTCAAGCTTGCCGGAATGCAAATACAATTTCTATGTGGCAGCAAATCGACTAGAAAACGTTGCTCACAGAAAAAACCTGTGTATAGGGTATATAGGGTGGCGAGGCTGGAAAATGGGTGAGAGTGGGAGTGGGTGGGAGGTGGGAGGCGGGGGGCGTTGGTTAGGTAAACTTTTCACTTAATCGCTTTTGCGCTGCGTTTCCAAAGAAAACAAACACAGCTAATTTGGGTTTATCTGCTTGCCAAAAGTTTTTGTCTGCCTTGCCAAGAACTCAACTGAATTTTCGGCCAACTCGCGTGGCTGGTGGGCGTAACGGTGCAGTGAGGCGTGGCCAGCTAGCTGGACAGCCGGCGAGAAGCATCTGGCCAGCAAGACGCTGATCATCATGTATTCGACATTCAACTGGTGTCTTCCACTCTCCATTTGAGTATTATCAAGTGTCATGAATAAATTACAGACTGAAACGAAATGCAAATGAAAATGTGTGTGAGTTTTTTTGTTTTCCCTTTTTTTTTTTTTTTTGGCAGGGTATACGGATTAGATGGTGCTGAGAAGTCAGCGTGTGTGTGTGTGTGTGTGTGTGTGTGTGTGTATTGTTTGTCAGTCTGCTTAGGAGCTAAGCCGAAACTGATCCGAAAGTAAGCGCAAGTAAAGCTATTGGGGTAGAGAGACTGTATGCAAATGCGCCATCTGTCGGTCGGATAGCGCAACTGTGTGCGTGTTGGTGGCAGATTAGCGAGGAACCTGGACAATAAATAAATTAGTGAACATTTGTTCTGAAGGTTGTGTATTAACAAAGCAAACTATGTTATGTTAAACATTTGACGAAGGATGCCAATTAAAATATATATGATGAGTAAACCTAATAAGGCTGATAAAAAACCTCCTTAAATCTCTGACTTAATTTAATGAGGGGCATGTAAATTAAAATATATATGTAGAGTAAAACTAATAATAGTGATTAGATAACTAGTTTAAATCCAGCTATTTTAGCCGAATATTGTATAGTTTCTTACTTTGATTTCTTTTATTATAAACAAATTTAAATATATTAAGTTTCTAGTTAAAGTGGTTTCTTTATTTTGTTTGGCATTTTTTCAACCAATTTTGAAAGCACTTTTGGACCACTTTTCAAATGCATTTGGCATATGCTTGGCAGCAGCTGCTGCTGCTGACCTCTGGCGCATTGCCGCATTTCCGCATTTCCGCACCCAAGCAGCAGGCACAACAACAACAATACACACACACACACACGCACACACACGCATCTCCTTTTCATACCCTTGCTCTCGACATAAACGCAAATGTTTTGCGAATTTTGTAGCCGCGTTTTTGAAATGCACTTGCGACATTTGACAGCTCCGACTGTCCATTTATTGTCTGGCTGCGTGTGTGTCTGCTTGTATGTGTTTTTGTGTGTGTGTGTGTGTGTATGCAATCCACTGTTGCATGTTGATTTTTGGCGGAGCTGCGCTCCATGTGCTATTGCAATTCATTCACGTGACGCCCCTCTCGTCAAACTTCTTCTCGCATCCTGCAGAGTCGTAAATAAATTTGCATTTTTGTCAATTTTGATGGCAGCTACACACACACACATGCACACACACACACACACACACTCGTGTGAACTGAATGCGTGCAAAGTATGCTAAGTTTATTCATTTACATATGTGCGTGTTTGTGTGTGTGCGTGTAGGTGTGTGATTGTTTGAATGTGTGCGAGTGTGTGTGTGTGTGTGTGTGCCTATACAGGTTTGTATAATCGGGACATTGACGCTGCAACAGTAAATCTGTCAGGGATCTAATTCAAATTTGGTATTCAACACTCTGCGAGGGTTCAGGTCCTCCAGAAAACAAACGAAAACCAAGAATTATTGGAGGTTTCTCTTCGATGGGGAGGGGGGGGGGGGGGGAGAATAAAATATACAAATTGTATCATCCAAGAAGAGAGAGAGACTTACAGAAAGAGAGAGAGAGAGACAGAGAGAGAGACAGAGACAGAGAGGGAGACAGAGAGAGAGACAGAGAGAGAGACAGAGAGAGACAGAGAGACAGAGAGAGAGACAGAGAGAGAGACAGAGAGAGAGAGGGAGAGAATCTCACAGTCGATCATCAGCTAGTTGCAACACGGCGTTGCCACATCGTTCGCCGTGTAATCGGCTGGCAACGGCGGATTTCGATGCTGCGGCAACTATTTGATGTCGTTGCGGCATGCAGCACAAGCTTGCCCCAAAGCGCACCATAAGCTGTGCCCATGCCCCCTCCTCCCCCACTCTTTAACCCGCCCTCCCCCATCGTGGAATGCCGGCAATGCGGCTATCCTCTGCCCGATGCAGGGCTATGCGGAGCGGGGATGCTGCAAGCGAATGCAGGGTGAGGGGGCAAGCGAGGATGGTTAGCTGGGGTGTGGATTGTGGGCTGGTGGCAGACGCGGCAATGACAATGGCTGCAAAATGTTGTTGTTGCAACAGTCGCAAAGTTGCTGACTGCGTTTTTGTTGGTCAACATTTTGCCGTCATTTTTGTGGCTGTTGTTGTTGTCGTGTGTGTGTGTGTGTGTGTGTCAGTGAGTGTGTGTGTGTGTGTGTGTCAGTGTATGTGGTCATCTTTCTCTTTATTGTTGCTACCAAAAATTAATTTGCATAATGGTGCACACACCCACAAATAGACACCCATACATACACACACAACACACACAACACACACAACACACACACACACACACACATAGGGGTGTGAGATTGTTAGTTTATTCGTTTGGCAACAACAACAACAACAACAACCAACACAGCGGAAATAATTACAACACACAACAATCAAGCAGCAATTGCAATTTTAATAAAATGTGCTTAAATTAAAATAAATATAAAATAAAATAAAATATAAAATAAATAACAACTAAATTTGCTTTGGGTTCTTCTTGATTTAAGAAAAATGTGTAACGCATAGAAGGAGACAGCTCCGACTCGATTTTGGAATTAAAATTCTTTTATTTAAAGCCGATATGTTAAGATTATGTAACTGTAGCTTAGCAACGTTTATCTGCGTGAAAGCGGTGGGTCATGGAAATAGTAGCTTTGCTTAAGGATAGCTTAATTTAAATGTTTATATTACATGTGAATTTAGCAAACTTGTCGCTCCGTCAAGAGACATTGAACAGGTGCGTCTTTTCTCTATACTTTCTTTCTATATATCATATGGCTGCCATAGGCACGAACTGTCGGAAAGTTGTTGCTTGTATGTCTAGGTATTCTCCATTTTACCAGATGTTTTGTGAATTATTATATTATGGATTATTATATACTGGGTATTATAATTCTGTCAAGAAGGCATCTCCGAACCTTTCGTGTGAATGCATGCCCTTATAAACTGAATGCAGTATAATATCCGAATACTAAATTCTAGAATCTTATTTAACCCAAAGAAACAAGCGCATATTCATATTCCAGCTAAGAACTGAGAGGTAGATCTTTAAATTTCTTATTTGACCCATAAATAGTTTGAGTTGTTGAGTATTTGGTTCATTATCGATTTGGGGCTTATTTTCGTTGAGTTTCTGCAACTTTTTGCACTGATTTCATTTCATTTTTGTTATGCTTGCGGATTTTTGATAGTTGCAACAAAATTTCTGAAAGTTATTTCAATTAAATTCGGACCACAACAGCTTGGCTTGGCTGAAGGGGTTTTCTTCGTGGGCTTCTGGAAGGGCAGGGGGGGGGGGGGGGGTTGCAGGAAGAAGAGAAAGTAGAGCGCAGCAAAATTTTCATAAAATTTTTCATAAGTTTTCGTTTCGGTTGCGCTTAAGAATGTTGTAAATATTTTTGCAGCTTGCCTCTCTGTGTGGTCATTTCACTGCACAACAAACCCAGCAAACACACACACACACACACACACACACACACACACACACACACACACACACACACACACTCATACTCATGGACATGGGCGGCACACATATGCCACTTATGCTATTCTTGATGCTCATTTCTGTTGCTGCAAATTTTCCAGCAGCATAAGCATAATTATTTTTAATGCGGTCCACAAGTTATTTTATTTTATTATGCATTATTTTTTTTCTCAACTCACAATAGACCTGGCCACAACCAGCCCCAGTTTTCCCAGAACACCTTTCGTTAGCTATTTAAACGCACGAGTTTAACAGGAAACTGGCCAGAAACCGGCTAGGCTCTAGCTTTTTTTTCACTTTTCGGTCCGACTGAATCCACGGCCGAAATTGGAATTCGAAAAAAACTCTTCTAAGCAATCGAAACCCTATGAATAAAAATCTAAGCAAAGTTCATAATGCTAAAATTAAATTTGATTTTAGTATGAGATATTCTATTAAAAGGGATTTGATCTTGTTAATCGAACAAGACATCATTACTTGCCAGTATTATATTTTGACGCTGCTGAAAGTATGCTATAGAAATAGTAGAACAGAGCTATCGAAATGCAGACAAATGATAAATAAATAATATTTATAAAATATTAATCTGATAATAAAAGGCAAATGACTTACCATATAATTTAAATATGCGCTCGAGTATTTTCCAACTCTTGTGCTTATTTTCCTTTCTTTTTATGCCTGGAATATATATGAAATATAGTTGAGATATTAACTTTGCCATGCAAAGCAAACAAAAATATATAATCAATAAAATTATAATAAAACGTATATTTTTATAAAGTCAACAAATTATTTACATTGGTTTCTTTAATAAAAAGGCGCAAGTAATATATTTTTTGATTTCTGCGAAAGAAACACAATCAAAAAATCATATAAAATTACATTTTAATAAAACAATAAAATACATCAATTAAATGCTATAAATGCTAACGAATTGGCAAAGTACGAAAGAAAATTCAAAAATTATATTTCCGAAGATCTTATGTACTATGTATATATATATATATAAAGAGCTGGGCTCCTGTAGTTGAGTATAATTAAAATATCATTAACATATATATATATATATATATATATATAGATCTACATCTACCTACTGTATAGTCGAAGCCTTTAGGTTTGATTTATTTGGGTTTTGTATAATTAATTAAATAAGGAAAAAAAGTAAGCCCAAAAATTGTGTTTTTTCAAGGTGAATAATATATAATATGTGCAAAGCTGGGCTTCAGGGGCTGGTCTTAGTTAAGCTAAATTAATCATAATTAAATAACAACAATAATAATAATAATAATAATAAATAATTTAAATGCATAGAAAGTAATATAAGCCTAGTGTGCCTACAAATTGGGCAAAGGGCCCAAAAAAAAATAATGCGGCTTTTGGTGAAAATTGGGCAGTGGAAGTTGTATGGAGATTTTTTATGCTAACTTCCTTTTTCTTTGGATTTTACTGCTGTTTCTTGATCAAACGTTCGCGATATTCATCAAGCGAGATTTTCTTTTTGGCGCAGCCGACAGTCGTCTGTTTGGGCAGCTCCAGGGCAGGCTTCAGCTGATGTCCGCCGCCGCCGGCAGCTGTTGGGATTGAGGTCTATATTGAAAGCGGGGGCAGGAACTGCAGCTTATGTACTTACATGGCGGTGTCTTGGGCAGATAGCGTCTATAGCATTCCATGGGCTCCACCAGATACTTGCCGCGTGCGGCGGCGGAGGTCTGAGCGGGCGGTGTTCCGGGTGCACCTGCACCTGCTGCTGCAACATGTGGCAACTCCTTCTGTCGCTTCACCGGGACATAAAGCGGCTGATAGTCGCCCAGCTGGCAGCCCTTTAGCTTGGCCGGCTTGTGCACCCCGACAGCCAGGGGCAGCCGCAACTGCGACTGCGTCGGCGACTGCGACTGCAGCTTGGCATCCGTGAGGGCCTTGTATTTCTGGTCGACAATGCGCTTGGTGGGCAGCTCGAAGTTGTATGCTTGCCACATGTACTCCCATTCGAGCAGCTCGGCGCGCTCATAGTAGCTATTGGCCAGCTGTTCCAGTGCAAAGACGCGCGGATTGTTATCGATGCGCAGTATCAACGTCGGCTCCGTGCTGGGTCGCCATTTGCCAAAGCCCTGAATCTGGGCGACACGATGGCCGCCAGCGAAACGGACGCGCACAAAGCACGCCTTGACGAGACGCTGAAAGTCCGGACGTTGCGATAGGAGCTGCAAAGTGCGGCGCGTCAGGAACAGCTTGTGCAGATTGCTCGGATCCTCCACAAAGTTGCTGAAGCTGCGATTGCCCAATGCATTCGCCAGCTGCAAGGGCAGCGGCAGCGGAAGGGGCAGCGGCAGTGCAGGTGTGGGCGGCGGAGGTGGGGGTGGCATCTGTTCGAGCAGCTGTTCCTGCTCCTCGTCCTGCCGCTGCTGCTGCTGCTGCTGCTGCTGCTGCTGCTGTCGCATCTCCTCCTGCCACTTGTGGCACATGCGTTTGCGCCATTTGTAATCCATGCTGCCCGACATGATCCACACACAATTCGAGGGGCCGACAACTTGCTCGCTGCGCCGATTTGCCGCAACTGTCAATCTGTTGCGGTTCTCGGTTCAGCAGAACTTCGGCTCGAGCTGAACAATTCGAGCAGCCCCGCCTCCTACTCCTCCTGTCTCTCTCGCTCGCCGGATTTGGCGAATGATCGGTTGGTCTGTCCAAGCGCAACTCCAAGTTGTTAGTCCAAATCCAAATTCAAGTCCCTCGGGCTTCAAGTCTTTCGTTTTTATTTTTATTTTGTTTATTATTATTATTTTTATTGTTTGTTTTTGTTGGATATCAGGCTGGGCGCCAAGCTCTCGCCTGAATGTGCTTACATGATAAATATTTATAATAAATCCGAATGCACTTTTAGCCTGCTTTGCAAATTTATCAAAATATTTATCAATTGTGAGTTAAATGCGCCCGAACTTCAGTTTTATGACTTGTTGCATTCAATTTTTGATTGGCCTAAAAACAACAAGTACAGAGACAATCAAATAAATAAACAAAAAAAAAAGAAAACAACTAAGGTAACTCTGAAATACTCTCCGAGTCATTTTCTTTAAGGTTTGCGGCGTGAGAGGTTTGATGAAGATATCTTAAGAGAGAGAGATAGAGAGATAGAGAGAACATCTTACATCGTACCCTTCAATACCAATATTAATCAAGACATATTTTTAATAAGGTAAATTTAAGTAGATAAAATCGAACCTGTTCCAAAAGATCGATAAATTTCGATTCTTGACCTTGCTTTCTCTCAATTACCGCAAATTTCCAAAAGAAATATGCATATATATATATATGTATGCACACTTTTGTATCCCATCCTTATTATTTGAAAAATCCATATAGATCGGACAATAAACACCAAAGCGATGAGAATAAAGAAACTGTGTGTGAGTGTGTATGTGTGTGTGTGTGTAAGATTGAGAGAGTTGTTAACGCCAGTTTGTAGCTGCTTTTAGGGGCAGGGTATCTCCTAGTCGGACACGCTTAGCTAACTATTTAAAATGTAGTATGCTTCAAAGTGCTGTAAACTTTTGCAAATTATTGTAAATGATTTCGATACCCTGTAAATTAGTATGTTATGCTTTGTTTTGCCTTGTTTCGCTTGCTTAGCCTTTGAGCTCGATTACAGGGTAACTAAGACAAACCTACTAAATATATTTTCAATTTAGTCTGCTTCAAAGTCCTGAAAACCTTTGCAAAATATAGTATGTGATTTAGATACCCTGTAAGTTAGTATGCTCCGCAGTTGATTTATGCTTTATTACAGGATATTTGCCCCTAAACATAGCCAGGGACAAATTTCGATTTTGAAATATCGATTAATTTCGATATTTCAATAAACCCAAAAAGCGCAGCGCTTCGTAACCAGCGCGCAGTTTTGCAGCAGGCAGCTTTTGTGTCGGTTCGCAGCTTCCTTTGATTTTCTTTCCTTTTGAAATGATTAAATTAATTTTCTTATGCAATTAAATTAAATAAAAGTATTTTCACTGCAAAATAAAATTTCAAATTCCACATTCAGTTTGGATTGCAGCCTTTGGTTATTTTGCTGTCTTGAAATGTTATAAACAAAGTTTTGTTTATTTTTGGCAGCTATTTGAACCTTTCACTTTTGGCTTGGTCGATTCTCTTAACTATCTATTTATTTATCCCATTTTCCGTGTCAGTTTGCAGTCGCCGTTGCTGCATTTGTTTTTAATTATGTTTAGTTTTGGGATTATTTAACAAAGGGTTGTATGCCCAACAAGTGCACGTGTGTGCGTGTGTGTGTGTGTCCATAAAACTGTCTCGACTTACACACTTGAGTGTACATGAGTGTGTGCGTGTGCGAGTGTGTGTGTGTGTGTGAGTGCGACATGAAAGAGCAATGTCAGCAATAGGACAAATGTCAGCGCCGTTGCCTCAACGCACATTATTTCTGTGGCTGTAAGGAGGTTAACAAGGTCGTAGGGGCGGGGCGGGGAGGAAAGGGTTATGGAAAGACGAAGAGCAACATTTTTGGAGTACGAGCCGACGGAATGCATCTCGTGCATTGGAATCATGTGCTTCATGCTGCAGGATTTTGGTGTCAATGCATAAACTGTAAAGCTAGGAAAGACGCGAGAGTACGACTTTAAGATACCCTCTAAAATGTATTGCAATAGCTTATTGCGTTATGTGCGAAATATCTGTAAAGTAAAATTGCGCAGTAAAGTGCACGACTACAGCATACCCTATAAAAACATGTTTGGTCTATTAAATGAATATTGCGACTATGCGTTACCCTGTAACATATTCAACAGAGCAAATGTGCGATTCTACACAACTTTTTCCTTGTAATGATATACTCACTATACCCCGTAAGTTTCCTTGTTTTTAAAGATGTTTTGTAATGTAATCCCCTTCTCTTTATCTATGTTGGTTTCTATTATACTATATACATATATACTTGTTGTCTTCTTTATAAGCCTTAGCTACCCTGCAATTGCCTTTATGCATTTTGTATACATTGTAATACGTCCAATTTGGCATTTTTTGTGGCTAAGAATTTGCACTACCTGGACAAAAGATAAGTTTGAAGATGTTTAAGCCCCTGTAACCAGAGTCTTAAGTCTTTTTTGATAAATGTGTCTTATATTTTTTATATATCCCTCGTGTACAGGGTATACATATAACTAACTAACTGAAGCAATACAGAATAGTATAAGGGGTGAGGGGGGTCTCAAAAGTTCATAGGCGCAGACCGAATGACGACTTGGCTCGATAGTCGAGAAAAGTGCGATACACACACACACACACATGCACACATGCACACATGCATGTTGTTTTTTGGGCTTGCTCCGGATAGAAATAGGGCCGTAGTTTGGAGAGGAGGAACGAGGGTACAAAGGGTTCGTGTTAGTCAGCTGCAGTGGCGGGGCTTGCCGCAAAACGCAGTAAAACGCGCGCATATTTATAACGAAATGCTCAATTTAAATTCCCATCAATCTTGGTCGAATGCCACACACACACACACACACACACGCATACATGCACGACTTAGTGGAGGGTGGAGCTTGAAGGTTTTGCTATTGTCTGTGCGGGAAATGCCTCGCATTGCCGTCTGCACATTCACAATGAAACGTGCACAATTCAAGTGCGTGGCAGAGGCTCAATGCTGCTTCTTCGCTTTGGCTGCGTTTTATTTTAAAAGGGGTTTGAAAAAATGACGTGCCAGCAACCGGAGCGTTAAATTAAAAAATGCTTATGCAAAAATAGAAAATCAAATAACGCCGATAATTCCAGCCACAACTGTGGAAAAGGAGTGGAAAATGAGTGGAAGACGAATTGCCTTTAAGCATAGATTTCGAGAAATGTTCAAAGTGGAAAATGGGTGAAAATGAAGGAAAAGTAAAATTGTAATGAGCAAAATAACAAAAAAATTTATGAAAACAGCAGAAAATGGTTTTGTAGGTGTAAAAGAGAGTTAGAACTGATTGCTGTACTAGAAGATACCCTATAGAAAACAACTACTTGTCTAATCTAAAATGACAACATTTTAATGAGAGATTTCGAAAAACGCTAAGAGTGGAAAATGGGTGGAAATGGAGAAAAAGTAAAATTTTAATAAACAAAATGAAAATAAATTGAATAAAAAAAGCAGAAAATGGTTTAGTAGGTGTAAAAAGAAGTTTGCCCGATCTCTTAGAACAAATAATTCAGAATTCGCAGTGTTTGCCGTACTATAAGATACCCTACAAACAATCACTTGTCTAATCTAAAATAACCACACTTAAACGGGAATTTGAAGCACTTTGCTCCAAGCTTAATTGAATGAGTTGATTGATATGTGCGGTCAATGATAGGTGAATGACAATTGTGCGAGCACCTGTTAAATAAATATGCAGTTAAAACAAAGCTTAGAAATCGCAAAAGCAACGCATCAATTGGTCAACCACTCTAACCCTCGACTCCTGCTCTCCAATATAAACACTCTCTGCATATGGCATATAAGTATATTAATGCCCGATGACCAGACCAGCGCTGGCTTAGTAATTGAAATTGAAAATTAAATTGTTGCAAGAACAAAAAACAAGTGTGGAACGAAAAGAATAAAATAAACGAGTAGCTGCCGGCAAATACTCTTCAAACTGAGGCGCTTCAGTAACCAGCTGCAAGCGGTGGGAGTAACGAGTACCGAGTGCTGAGTACTGAGTACTGAGTACTGAGTACCGAGTAACTGGTACTCCAGGTACTGCTGCACCGGCAGCAAACCACCCGCATTCAACACACACACACGTCGCATTTTTTCATTACGGGCTACGCACACAAGTGCCGCACTTGACGACTGACTGCCAAAGCAGGTGATGGTGGGCGGGCCGGGATGAAGTGGGGTGGGTGTAAGGTCCGTCACTTTGATCTACGATGCAACAGCAAATGGACACTGGGCCAAGGCTGCTGGGAAATAGTGCAGAATGCGAGCTCTAATGGCTGAATATACACTTAAAATTATTTCTTTTTATTTTAAATATATTAAAAGAAAGGCATAAAAAAGAGTTATACGAGAAATTTCATACACAATGCGAAATGTATCGGAATTGTAGAACACAATTTGACATTATATTTAAAGAGAAGTTAATTCTAGAGATAGATACAGATCGAGAGAAAAAGAGAGAGGAAGGGAGCGTGAAAGTAACAAAGAGAGAGAGAGAGAGAGAGAGAGAGAGAGAGAGAGAGAGAGAGAGAGAGAGAGAGAGAGAGAGGGTGAGCGCGTCTTACCCACGAGAAGTATTTTATTTTATTATAATAAATCTTGGAAGTGCTTTGAGAGAGAGAGATAGTCTTAATGGTGAGAGTAAGAGAGAGTCTTACTAGCGAGAAATATTTTATTTTACTATAATAAATCAAAGAGCTTTCAAGGGAGTTGCAAAAATGTTAAGAATAATAATAAAGCTTAAAAAAATTAACTGAACTTTTAAAATCGAAGGAAACTCTTTATATATTTGAGGCATATTGAAAATTGAAATTTTTTATAAAGCACAATTTATATTCAATTAGCACTAGATCGAGTCAAATATTGTGTGTATAACTTTTTGAGCCACTGTGCCACATGGATGGACATTAAATGTCTGTGTCCAGTGCAACTGGCACGTTTGCTTTTTGTATTTTTGTTGTTGGCATTCTCCTTGTTCTGGTAGCTTTTTTTTATTTTATTTTGATTTTAGTTCTCTGTTTTTGCAGCATTTCGTTGTGTGTTTATTTTGCACTTTGGCGTCGCAAAGTCGCGACGCTCTCAAATCGAATTGACGAATAATGTTTATTGATATCTGCTGGCTTAGCATTTAAGACAATGATAACACTGATGATCACACCGATGATAACGATAATAATAATAATGTTGATGATGATGATAATAGGTTTTACATAGGCGACGTTTAATTTATACCATTTTAAAAACATACAAGCTTTTATCTGTGGGGAAAGAAAGTGCGACCAT